AGTAACATACTGACTCCCAGAGAATGGGTAATAGCAACAGTACTCTTTCTAATTTTCTACATACCCAAGAAAAACACACTTCTTTGTTTTCGAATCAAGAGTTGAGCAGTGAGGACCAAGAACATGTGCAAAGCAAACACAATCAAAAACCCTGAGAGGGATGTGGAACATCTCCCCCTCGGGAAAAAGGAGGCTAAATGGGGTACTGAATCCAAGTACACGAGAGGGCACCCTATTAATCAGAAAGACTACTGTGAGAACTGCATCACCCCAAAACTGAATTGGAACAGTAGATGTGATCATCATGCTTCTTGCAATCTCAATAATGTGTTTGTTCTTCCTCTCTACTACACCATTCTGTTGTGGACTGTAAAAACAATTGCTCTGATTGATTATACTTTAACAGATACGAAAGATGGTTCTCAAAATATTCCTTGGCATTATCTGATTTGAACACCTTTACTCGTACCCCAAACTATGTTAGCACCATCTGATGAAACTGTCAAACCAAGGATAGTACCTCATCACGGTATCTCATTAATTAAATCCAATAATACTAAGAAAAATCACCCACAAATAAAAGAAAATATCGGTAGTCACCCATAGAAGGAACATGACATGGTCCCCATACAACAATATGAATAACATCAAAAGCAGATGAACACCTTTTATTACTAGCTTTAAACGAATGTCTACAATGTTTTCCAAGCTGATGGTTTTCACATTCTAAGCTAGACAAATTAACAAATTCAAATAACTTCGGAAATGAGAAACGCAAAGAAGGAAAAGACAAATGTCTCAAACGATTATGCCAAAGCATAATCTAACCCACAGACTCTGACTCAAAATCCCTGCTAACATAATGACTCTGATGATGAGGAAACGCATCTAGAAGGTAGTTTCCATTCACCTCACGACCACTCCCAATCATCCTCTTTGAAACCAGATCCTGCAAAACACTGGCCAGGAGAAAAAATCACTAAGCAATTCAAGTTCTTAGTTAGACTACTAACAGATAATAAGTTAGTACTTAATCTAAGTACATGAAGGACAAAGGGTAAGGAAATGGAATCAGTAATCTTGACAGACCCCTTCCCAGCAATGGGAACATGATATCCATTGGCTGTGGAAACTTTGTCTCTACCAAAACAAAATTTGTAAGAAGAAAAAATAGTGGAACTATGGATCATGTGCTCTGAGGCTCCAAAATCTATAATCCAAGGAGGTCCCTCCTTACTTGTAGTAGAAACATAATTTGTAGTGGCATGTAAACTACCTGTATGAGAAAAGGAAGTAGAATGTCAATCACCAAAACCACCTATACCTAGCTGTCCACCTATTACCGGATTAGGGCTGACTGTATCTTGCTGATTTAGTAACTGCCCATATCTCTCAAGTTCGACCCTCACTGCAACAGCTGCAACAGACTCCAAAGTAGTTGTAGTACAGGGGCCAGGTAAGTCACTAGCGACTGCCATGTTAACATTTTCCTTCTTGTTTTTGAGTCTATTCAGCACAAGGTGAGATGGTGGGGACTCTCAGGGGCGGAGCCAAGGGGACCCAGGGGAGCCATGCCCCCCCCCCTATGGTCCCAAAAATCCCAACTTGGGATATACTGTTTCATGTACATTTCCCCCTCCTCCACTCCCAACGCCAATGGGTTGGCCCCCCTTATAACCATCCATATTTAGGCCATGTTTGATGATTAAGTACTTGTTAAAAGAAGTACTTGTAGAAGTACTTATTTTAACAACCATTAAGGCTGTTTTTTAAGAACTTTGGTAACCCACTTTTCAAATCACTTATTATGTTTTTAAGCACTTATTGGGGTGGGAATGTTTGGTAAGCTACTTTCCCCATAAGTGCTTATATTGACACAAATGACAATTTTAGCCCTCACTTCACTCATACATATATACAATGGTTTTCACATGTTATACTATACATTTCAATTGACAGCCCACGTGGACCCCTACGTGGGCTACCATGTGGACCCAATTAATAATAATAATAATAATAATAATAATAATAATAATAATAATAATAATAATAATAATAAATAATAATAATAATAATAAATGATAATAATAATAATAATACTAAAAATAATAATAATAATAACTAATCATCAATAGAAGACGACAGAGAATAGGTCTCCAAGCTGACGCAAGACGCCGACGAGCCCGGCCATGGTGACGCCTTCAAGTAGCGCTTTGGGATCATCTTTATCGGTAGCTCCGGATCGGCGATGTTGTACTCGTTTCTTATCTGGTACCTTGTAATAGGCATTTCGTCCAAGTATCACAAACCCTAGTTTCTGAAACTGAGTCTCCACTCTAATTTCACCGCTACATTTCTGCCATTAAAACCCCCTAACAAATTTTCATTAGGGAGGGAGAGAGAACGACAACTGGTACGCCGACAACATTAGATTCCCGTTTTTGAATGGCACAGACGTTGCCACTATTCGAACAAGCTGCTGCAATTGATAGAGGGGGAGCTGATAAACGAAAGGAGAGAGAAAAAATAATAAAAGGGATAAGAAAAGGAAGAATAGATCAAAGGGGGGAGGTAGTTGCCACTACTAGGGTTTGAGGTTCGAATGAATGGAGAAGGAGGCTGGAGGTATAACCCTCGTGGGGATATTTTAGGCATTATAAAAATTTATCAAGGACTAGTTCATCCTATTTTTTTTGAGAAGTAATTAAAAAAAGCCAACTTGAAGTCACTTTTTCAAAGTACTTTTTCCCCACTTTTTTACCAAACACCCATAAGTAATTAAAAACCACTTAATGTGTGGTCCCATGTCTTAAAAGAAGTACTTCTTTTAAGTGTTCTCAAACACTACCTTATTCCCCCTCCCCCACTCCCCACCCCAATGGGTTGGCCCCCCTATGACCATCCATATTTATCCCCCCTCCCACCCCCAATTCATCTTAGGTTTTGGCCCCCTCATGAAAGTTTCCTAGCTCCGCGCTGGCCAAGGGCAGAGCCAGGGGGTGGCAGAGGGGAGCCATGGCCCCCCCTATGCCTTGAAAATCCTCATAATAATTGTTTAAATCCCACATATATTTTGCCCCTCTTATCCACGTTTCTTATCTTTTGGCCCTCCCTATCCATTCTTATTACACTTTGGCCCCCTCAATAAAGAATCCTAGCTCCGCTCCTGAGTTCTACGGAAAGTAATTTGGATCTCCTGTTAAAACTGCTAGATTAGAATCGTTAGTTAGTTTCAGGAGTCTGAGACTGAAGAAAAGAAATAAGAATGCCAGGCATACGGATGCATCAAGCCCGGTGCATGTGTATTCTGTAGAGCAGCAAACGGATCAGATTGAACCGGAAATAGATAGATCCAAACTTCATTCATTTATTTTGGGATACGAATCGAATTCGGATTGCAATATTGATGAGCCAAGGCTGTATTTTGTTGTAATGCAAATTTATTTTTAATAATGCAAAATTTTGGTAATAAAAAAGATTTTGGTGCAAATTCTAATTTATTTTTATTTAAAATTTTATCTTATTTTGTTTAATTACAATAAAAATGAAGTAAAATAATACCTGAAGCAGAACAAAATAAAAAGTACACCTAAAACAAAGTAAAACCAGAATTTACATTCTTTTCATTTGTCTCATACATTTGTACCAGTGCAAATAAAATTGCACTACAACCATTAAAAAATATAAACTTTTCCTGATATTTTCACTAAATAATACATACTAAAGCATCCTCTCACTTTCAAATTACATCTTTCCTTCCCTAGCTTTTCTTTTAAAACCAAACACAGCCTCAAGGTTAGTCTTTTTCCTTCTCTTTAAATAAATGTAACAAAATAAGCTTCATGATTCCTTAATTAAATTTGTTTTCTTTTGGTTGGTCTCAAATAATACTTTGCCAGGTTTTTAAAAACGAACTGGTGACCGAACCGGTCAAGGGTCCAGTTACCAGTTCGAATGGTCCAACCGTTTGACCCGAATGGCCGACCCGTTCTGACAAAAAAATAAAAAAAAAATTTAAAAATCGAAAAACGGTTAAAACGGTTTGAACGGTTAATCTGCTGGTTTAGCAGTTTACTGACCAAAATCAATGGTTTTGGGAAAAAAAAAACAGTTTTAGAGGAAAACAGAACCGGTCAAGTGATCAATTCCCAGTTTTTCCAGTCTGACCATCCGATCCGATCCAGTTTTGAAAACAGTGATACTTTGATCAATTTGTTAAGATCATCACTTAATTAATACATTCAATTTCTAGGCCGTTACCCACTAGGTCTACGATCATCAGTTTTTTGTTTTTTGCTGCCTTTTCCTTAAAAACCAAACAGAGCCTCCAGAAAGCTTTCAAGGGATTAGAAACTGGAACTCCTTATTGGAAATTGATAATGTTTCTAAACTACTTTTCTTCGGTCCTGTTAAAAATGTTTGGTGCCTCCATCCTCCACTTCACTTCAACATATATCACAGATTTATGGAACAAGACAGAAGTTATCAAGGCAACCATGCCACCTTTTTGAACAAGAAAAATAGAAAATCATTAATGCCCATTAATGAATAATTGGTTGTCCCATTTAAAACAAAACCTAGCTAGCTTCCAATAATACCACACCAGCACCATATCTCAATATCTCCAATCTACCCGAGATTTCCGAGATTTCTTAACCTAAATAAATCGCTATTAAAATCTAAAGCTAAAGCGCCAGCAACCTCTCTCATCTCCATTGCATCATACATACCATATGCCTTAGGCTGTATTTAGTTGCAATGCAAATAAATTTGCACTGATACAAAATTATGACAGTGCAAATGATTTAAATGTAAATTTTAACCTGTTTTTATTTTAAATTTTAACTTATTTTGTTTGATTGCAATAAAAATTATGTAAATTAAGACATGAACAGAATAAAATAAAATCTAAAACGAAATTAAACGAGAATTCGCATTTTTTACATTTGCACTCCCATATAAAGAGAGAAACAGAGACAAGAGACAGAGACCCTGCAGAATCCAACTCCCACCCCGGCCTCAAATTCCTATTTATCCAATTTTGTTTTCTTCTCTCTAAGGCCCCAAACCATTAACCATGGCGAGAAAGAAGGTTAAGCTTGCACTGATTGCTAACGAATCGGCTAGGAGAACCACTTTCAAGAAAAGGAAGAACGGTTTGATGAAGAAGGTGAGTGAACTTAGCACTCTATGTGGCGTCAGTGCTTGTGCCATCATTTACAGTCCCTATGATAAACAGCCAGACGTTTGGCCCTCTGCATCCGATGCCCAGCGCGTGCTTGCAAGGTTTAAGAACTTGCCTGAGATGGAACAAAGCAAGAAGAAGATGAACCAGGAGGTCTTCCTCAGGCAAAGGATATCCAAATTGAAGGAGCAGCTGAAGCGGCAAGAGAAAGACAATCGAAAACATGAGATGACTATACTTATGTACCAGACCTTAGCAGGTAAGAGCTTGAACGATGTGCTCATCGGGGATTTGAACGATTTAGCATGGTTAGTGGACGAGAAATTGAAAGAAATCCAAGAGAGGATCGAACAGCTTAGGAGAACACCACCCCGTTTTATTGCAGTTGAAGAGAGTAGGTGTGGCGACGACACTGATGTACAAGAAAATAATAAAACAGCCTTAGAGTTCATGGCCATGGACGCACTGCAAGCACAAACATTACCCAGCTGCTGGTTCATGGAAGTTATGAACCCACATGAACATATTATGGGTTCGGGTTCCGGCGGGGATTCGATAGGAGTCGTGCCTTATGACAGTGATGCCACTTACTGGTCAAATGCTTTCTTTCCTTAATTTAATTACAAGGAGTTTTTCTTGGTTTAAAATCTTCTAATTACCAAGTTCAGCTTGTTAAATTGGGTTTCATCACTTATGTTTCATGTAGATAAATAACTCATCCTAAGTAGGTTATTTCCTTATTGCTTTGTTTTAATGTCAATCTATTTAGTCTGCTTTATCTCTAGACTGAGAATGTTTGGGATAATACATATGTTCTGTTTTTACCATTGTTAATTTGTGAACTTGGTTTCTGGAAACCACGCATTTTGTGATGATTCATGGGCTTCATTCCCACCCATTTTACACTTTAAATCCAACTTTCGTTTTCTTGCATTTTTAGATAGTCTTGCAAAGAAAAATCATTACCATTCAAAAAAAAAAAAAAAAGAAAAGAAAAGAAAATCAAGTTGTGTGTATCCCACATAACCATTTTAGAAAATTTTACTTCTTTCCTGCATAACCATGCAAACAGCCTTTAAGAAAATCAAGTTACTCATAAATGGTTTATGTTTCGCACAGCGGACAATCTATACAATTTCTAGAAGAAAATTTGAAAACCCCGTATTTTTTTTGACTCCAACAGCAATTTCATTCAAGAAGAAACAGAATTACATTTCGACTGTGACTATTGTTCTAACTTGTAAGGAAACTAGGAACGGTAGACCAAGTTATAGAGCAATCATGTCTAATACAAAATTGAGCAAACCTATGGGCTGCTCTGTTACAACAGACTCGAGACGTATGATTTAGCACACAAGATGAAAAGTGTGACTGGAGAGAAAATAACTTACCTAGCTACCCTCTCGAACATCAATTGTAACTTAATTGCATCATTTAGATGAATGAGACGTTATACCTAATAAATTTAGTTGCAGCTTGATAAGTTGTTCGCAAACAAATATTACACTGCCAATTCCTTTTAGGCTATGTTTGGTTTGAAGAAAAATGTAGGGAAAGGAAGGAAAAGATAGGAAAACTTTTACAAACCTTATTTTAGTTTCCCTGTCTTTCCCTTCTTTTCCCTACCTTTTCCTTCAAACCAAACATAGCCTTAGGGTTAATATCTTACATAACCCCTGGTTTCACTGAACTACTTAAATACACATTGTAGCTCCTAAAATACTTAATTAGTTGTTCTCCTACTTCTTTTCTCATTTCTAAAACCAATAGATGATTGAGGAAATTAAGCAAAAGTCAAAGTGACCCTGCCTCTATCTCCCACAACACTCATGTTTTTAATCCTGGTGATTTGGAAGATGCCAAGTCCTCTCCCTTACAGACTCAATATAGATGGAGATTGGAGTTTCACGTAATAATCCTGGTGTCTGTGGTCGTAGGGGTGTTTTGAGAAATAATTAGGATTCGCTTTGCTTCGGCTTCCAAAATTTTTACAGACGTGGAACTTCAACCAGAGCTGAGTTCCTTGCTCCTTTTTATGGCCTTAATTTATGTTTCGTTCAAAACATTTTGGAAATTAAGGTGGAGAGCGATAAAAATTATTTAGTTGGCATTTTCATTAATAAGAATCATTTCCCTTGGTAATTCCTTCATATTCACCGACATATTCATGAATAAGAATCATTACCTTATTGATTTACTCACACCTTTTTTTGGTAGGGAATCAATGCTTTGATTTCTTGGCTAACAATGACATTTATAAAAGAAAGATTACATTTTTTTAGTTCTAGCCATGAGGCTCCAAAGAAAATTCTTAATTTTGTTGAGAGAAAACTATATAAGAATTGTAAAGCTGAGAATCAATTAGTTTAGTCTTTCGTATTGTAATGAATTGTTTTCTTCTGTTTTTATTTGTTGTTTTGGGTTGGGTTGAGAGGGAAAAGGATGTATGATTTTCTGTTGGTTTTTGGGGCAAGACAGCTCCTATATTATTGTTCCTTCATTTTGACCATGGTTTTCAAAACCGTACTGGACCGGATGGTCGGATCAGACAGACAAACCGGGAATTGGTCACTTCCATTTTACCTCAGAACTGTTATTTTGCCAAAAACTGTTGATTTGGTCAGTAAATCGCTGATCCAGTCGGTCGAATCATTCAAAACGTCCAACGGTTTGATCGCTTTTTTTGTTTTTAAATTTTTTTTATTTTTTGTTAGAACGGGCCATCCATTCAGTTTGAACGATCGGACCGTTCAACCCGGGAACTGAACCCTGACTGGTTCGTTGTCCAACTCAGTTTTAAAAACCTTGATTTTGACAATTGTCAATAAAAATTTTTAAAAGTGGCTACCCTCCCACTTGGAGTATATTTGGGGGATTTAATAAAATGCCCTTGATTTTTCTTCCAATTCCAAAAAATCCTTAATATGGTTTAGATAGTCGAGTCTTTGTATTTATATACACTTGTAGATCGGTTACAAAGGATGAGATACAATTTGAAATAATTTAAAATAGAGATAAAATACAATAGACGATAAGTAGACCTGTTCATGGGTTGGATAGCCCGACGGGCCCGGCCCGGCCTGGCCCGATCTAAGTCAGGCTTGGACAAGATTTCAGGCCCACGGGCTCAGGCTCAGGCCAGACTTTTTTTCGGACTAGGCTTGGGGTTTCTCAAAAAAGCCCGGCCTGAGTCCAAGCCCAACTTGATAATGTATTATTTTAATAAAAATATATTTTTTATAATAAAAAAACATGTATATAATATATTTTCTTCTCTTTTTTCAGGAAATAATGAGATTTTTCATTATTTTTTTAGGTTTTGTGGTCTTTTAGTATAAATAAAACAACTTTTAATTGAATTAAAAATGAAAAATCATTTTTTTCTAAATTTCTAGTCGGGCTCGGGCTCTGGCTCGGGCCCGAGCTTTGGGCTTTATAGTTGGGCCGGGCTCGGGCTCAAGACCTAGGCCCGATGGTCGGGCCGGGCTCGGGCTCGGGCCTAAACATTTTCTGTTAATGTAGAGACAAAGCCCGGCCCGAACCCGACCCGTGAACAGGTCTAATGATAAGGATTATCAAGTAGAGCCCTTTTATACAAGCAAAGTTTAAAGTATCGAAAATGCAATGTGTATCAGAGAGACAATTTTAAGAGACGTATTGAGATACGCTTAAGATACGTATGGATACGGATGAAAAAATAAGATACACATGAATACACTAAAAAACTCATATAAATCCTTAAAACCTATGCTAATTACAATAAATATGAGTTTTATATCACTATAAATAAGCTATTTAAACATAAAAATCTATATTTCATTAATTTATACAAAGTATGAAATATTGAAACATAATTGGAAATTGTTGAAAAATGATGAAAGAATTAAAATGTTTGTTTACATACTATAGTATTTAAAGAATCAATATAATTTGTATTAATATTTACCATTTTTAGAAAATAGGACCGATTGGTAGGGGTGATCATGAGCCAGGCCAGGCTTTGCACTTATGATAAGGGCTATAGCTTAGGCCTAGGCCTGGCCCAGCCCAAGGTTTTGGGCCTGAAACATAAGCCCTAGCCCATGTCTATAGGGCTCGAGTCAGGTCGGGCCTGATTCTGGTCCAATGTTTTTCATATATATAAAACAATACATATCTATAATATTTTATATTAAATGACATAACATGCATATAAATTTATTTTATACATTATATAATACAAAATATTACATTTATACTACTTTAAAAAGCACGAATGGACTCAATAATATTTCTGGAATTTTCTAAGGACAAATTTACCCCTCTATATTTAAATTTATTGATAAAAAATGAGGGCAAATAGGGTAATCGATTCTTGATATTAAATGAGTTGAAAAGAGGTAACTTTAAAATTTTCAATGCATTCAATTCTCTTTCATTAAATCCAACATTTAAGTTATTAACTTGCACACATATTCATTGAATCCATACTTAATAAGTTTTAAGTCACTTTTGTTTATTCTCATCATTAAGTTCTATTAATTAAATTCATATTTAACAAATTAATAATTCCAATAACATAAAAACTTATACTTTTAAAATCTACCTATCAAAAATAGTATTTTCATCTAGGTGATGGTAAAAAATTAAATCATTTTGGGTCAAATGGGTCAATCTATATTGTCACAATTAAATAATAAAATGAAAAAATATAAATTAAAAAATTGAGAACATTTTTAACATACATATTAAACAATAATAAGTATGATGAATAAGAAGTGTTTTTATTAATGATGGAATTGAATGTAAAATTTAAAACCAATTGGAAATAAAAATATTTTCGTATTCTCCCTCATTAAATCCTATATTTAAGATATATTTTTCTCATCATTAAATTCTTATAATTATATCCACAATATTAATTTTAATAGTATAAAAATAAATAATTTGAAAATTAATTTAAAAACAAAACCATTTTCTTCCCTCCCGGTGGTGGGCAAGCAATTCAACCATTTGGGATCAAATGGATTATTAAATAATGCCATAATTAAATAATAAAAAATTAAAATAAATAACTATGAAATGTAAGAACTATTTTTATTAATATTGAAAATGGAATGCCAAATTTAAAATCTACTTAGAAAGGAAATGATGTCATAGTCAAATAATAAATTTTTTAATAATAGAAAATACAAAGAATCAGAAAAAAAAGGATAGAGAAAATTTTGGGCACATATCTAATGTTATATATTTATAAAGAATAAAATATTGGGTACATCTCTAATATTATGCATTCATTATATTGAATAAAAATAAGTTTTATGTATAAGAAATAATTTTATCAATGATAGAAATGTAATACAAAATTTAAGGTTAACTTAAAAATCAAACTTTTTCTTTTTAGATGGTGAGTTAGTGGTTTGAGTCAAATGATACCATAGACAAACAAAAATTAAGTGTGATAAGTAAAAAATATTTTATATAATATAAATGAAATATATAATTTAAAGGAAAAAAATATAGCCAAAGAAAGTTGTACATTTAAAATTAGGTTGCAGGTTGGTACAAAAACCAACAAAACTCTAACAACCAGCTCTACATTTCAAATTATAAAAACCCCTGCCATGTCATTGAAGGTTTATGTGACTGTTGCAAACATGGGACTCTTGGTCCATTTTGGACACAACAAAAAATCCTATACCGAAAATAGGTTTTCAATTTTTCTCCCACTCCCTCTATTTCTCAATCTCCCTCCCTTCTCTTTTACTCTCATAGTCATCTCTCGATCTCACACTCTCATCTTCAATCTATAACCAAATCAAAACCTCTCCCTATCT